GTTAATTCTCTTGGCTCATTATCTTCAAGAAGCCAAAAAATCTCAGACTCCCAATGTCCTACTCTGTTACTCATCTCACAACCTTTCTTGTTCTTCCTCTAATATTTTCAAAAACTCTTCCAACTCTCTTTAGATTCTCCAACCTACTGCAACCTCCATACTCCATATGGCATTTCAAGCTTCAACTCGACAACTCCATCGTTTCTCAAATCTGTCACATCAACCCCAACCTCTTCTTCCTTTCTCCTCCGAGTCTAACAAGCTACAATACTTTCTCTGACACCAAATTTTCTCTCTAAAGCCTTTGAGGTAACCGTGGGTGGTTTTTGGTTGCATGTTCTTGTATTAGCATCTTACATCATTGTTTTCTTCTCTTTACTTCTTCAATTGTACTTTTTCTATTTTAATTTTTGCATGCTTTGGTGGCCACAAATGAAAAGGAAAAGAAGCAATGGAGATGGTCAATTTGAAAAGCTATTCGCAAAATCAAAATCAAACTTGGACCCTTTTATTGGTATTTGCTTGTTACAAATTCTATTTTTATTTTTTTAGTTTGTTATAAATTCTAATTATGAATTTAAATTTTGAATATAGTAGATGTTGACAAAGGTAAGGATAAGGAATATGCAAGCAATATTGGCTCTTGCTCTATACCTAGGAAAAAGGTCAAGGTTGAGGTGCGAGCAAAATCTAAGGCATAGGGGCCTATTGAACGAGCTTCTACCTCTAATGTTTGGGAACATTTCATCCTTATACATGCTTCAGAGAATAAGGAGGGAGTAAGAAAAGGTAAATGTAAATATTGTGGAAAAGAATACATCTGCACAGGAACTCATGGCATTTCGAATATGAGAAGGCATGTTCCAAAATGCCTTCATCAAGTGCACAAAGATCCTCTCCAGATAATGTTAAATAATTCTAAAAAATTAGTGAACAAAATTGGTCAAGAAATTTTTAAAGAGTTGTGTGCTATGGTTGTTATTAAACATACATATCCTTTTACTTGGGTTGAGCATGAAGCTGTTGGGGAATTAATGAAGTATTTGAATGCAGAAGTGAAACCAATTTGTAGGAATATTGTGAAGAATCATTGCTTGAAAATTTGCAAAAGGGAAAAAGAGAGGATTAAGGAAAGTTTGAAAAACTTGTTTAGTAGAATATGTTTGACTTGTGACATGTGGATATCTGTTATAACCCAAGGGTATCTATGTCTAACTGCATACTCTGTTGATGATGATTGGAATTTGCATAGTTTGATTTTGAATTTTGTGCATGTCTAACCCCTCATACTACTAGAAATTTATATAAAATTGTGTATGACTTGCTTAAAGAATGGGGGATTGAGGAGAAAATTTTCAATTACATTAGACAATGCAAGAACTAATGATAATATGCAAGAAATTTTGAAAAATCAACTTCCTCTTGAAAAGCCATTGTTGTGTGGGGGGAATATTTCCATGGTAGATGTTCTGCTCATATCTTGAATCTGATTGTGCAAGAAAGCTTGAAATTGGTTGATGAAAGTGTTAAGTAGATTAGGGAGGGGATAAAGTAGGTAATTACTTCTGAGGCTAGAATTTTCAATTTTAAAGATTGTGCTAAACATGCAGGTTGTGATTTGAGGAAGGGATTATAGTTAGATTCCCCTACTAAGTGGAATTCTACACACACCATGCTTGATAGGGTACTCTTATGTAAAGAAACTTTTATTACTTTTGAGTTGGATGATGAGCATTTTAAATGTTCAATGGATGAAGAAGAATGGACTTGAGTTCTTAGAATTTCAGAACAATTAACACCTTTTGTTGAAATTACTGCTTTGTTTTCTGGATCTAAATATCCAATAGCAAATTTGTACTTTAAATTTGTGTGGATGATTGATTGGTACTTGTTGGATTATATGAAAAGTGAGGATGTATATTTAAGGGAGATGGCCAGTAGGATGAAGGATAAATTTGGTAAGTATTGAGACTCTTACAGTGTGATACTTGCTTTGGGTTTTATTCTTGACCCTCATTACAAGCTAGACTTTGTAACATATTGCTACCAAATGCTAAATAAAGATGATGAGGAAAAATGAAACGCTGAGATTGAACATATTTCTAAATTGTTGTTTAATATCTACAATATATGTAATAGATAACAGCTCCAGTACTAGTAAAGAAAGTGCAATAACAATAAATTCTACATGTACCACCAGCAAAAGCATGATGATCAGCCAATTACAATGTCATAATCCCATCAAAGTAAATTTATGTACCATTTTTTTTTTTTGGTTTGTTGCTCTTAATTTTCCTTCATTTTTTTCTCTATTTCTGCCATTTTCAGTGTATTTTTCTACTCATTTTTGTTGCCATTTTTGTGATATAAAACTCTATTTTTGCTATTTTATGGTTTGCTGGCTGATTTTAGTTATTGCTACTCATTATTTCCTGCACTTTTTTTGTCATATTTCTGTACTTTTTAGTATATATTTCTGTTCATTTTTGCTGCAATTTTTGTAGTATAAAACTATATTTATGCTATTTTATGGTCTGGTGGTTGATTTTATTAATTGCTACTCATTATTTTCTGCACTTATGTCGCCATATTTCTGAAGTTTTTGGTATATATTTCTGCTCATATTTGCTGCCATTTTTGTAGTATAAAACTATATTTCTATTATTTTATGGTTTGGTGGTTGATTTTAGTGATTGCTACTCATTATTTCATGCACTTTTGTTGCCATATTTCTGTAGTTTTTGGTTAATATTTCTGCTCATTTTTGCTGCCATTTTTATAGTATAAAACTATATTTATGCTATTTTATGATTTGATGGCTGATTTTAGTGACTACTGCTCATTGTTTCCAGCACTTTAATTGCCATGTTTCTTCATGTTTTTGCAGTTTTTGGTATTTTTTTTGCTCATTTAGCTGCCATTTTTGTGGTATAAAACTATATTTTTGTCATTTTATGATTTGGTGGTTAGTTTTAGTGACTGCTGCTCATTGTTTCCTGCACTTTTATTGCCATGTTTTTGCAATTTTTGGTACATTTTTTTGCTCATTTTTCTGCCATTTTGGTGGCATAAAATTATATTTCTGCCATTTTATGGTTTGGTGGCTGGTTTTGGTGACTGCTACTCATTGTTTTCTGCACTTTTGTTGCCATGTTTATATAATTTTTGGTATATATTTCTACTCATTTTTGTTGCCATTTTTGTGGTATAAAACTATATTTTTGCTATTTTATGATTTGGTGACTGATTTTAGTTATTTCTACTCATTGTTCCTTGCACTTTTGTTGCAATGTTTCTGCATGTTTCTACATGTTTCTGTAGTTTTTTGTATATTTTTCTACTCATTTTTGCTTCCATTTTGGTAGTATAAAACTATATTTCTACGATTTTATGGTTTGGTGGCTAATTTTAATAATTGATGCTCACTGTTTTCTGCACTTTTATTGCCATGTTTCTACAGTTTTTGATATATATTTTTGCTCATTTTTGCTGCCATTTTGGTGGTATAAAACTATATTTATGCTATTTTATGTTTTTGTAACTAATTTTTATAATTGTTGCTCATTATTTCTTACACTTTTGTTGCCATGTTTCTGCATGTTTCTATAGTTTTTGGTATTTTTTCTACTCATTTTTTCTACCATTTTTATGGTGTGAAACTCTATTTTTATTATTTTATGGTTTGGTGGCTCCTATTTAATGTAGGGTTTTCAAAGTTTGAATGTGGAAAAAGTTCATACATCTGAATTACAACAATATTTGGAGGAGGGAAGGCTTGTTTAGAGCAGGATTTGGATGTCCTTGCTTATTAGTCTAGTAACGAGAAATGTCTTCCTAACTTGTCTAGGATAGCAAGAGACATCTTAACAATTCCAATTACCATAGTAGCTTCTGAATCTGCATTTAGCATGGGTGGGAGAATTATAAGCAAATTGAAGGGATCTCTTTTACCTCAAAATGCAAAAGCTTTGCTTACAACTCGAACTTGGTTGCATGCATTTGGAAAGGAAGGTAATATGCTTCTTTTGTTCTTGTTCATTAAATCTACTGATTTTCAATTTGCAATTAAAGATGATTGGATTAAGAATGACTAATTTTATTTTGTGTTGACTTCTTTAAAAGCAGATGTTGAAGGTGAGGTGATAGGATGTGAATTTTATTTAGACTTGGACAATATAAGTATAACTTCTCCTCCTCTTACTAATGAGTTTGAAAGAACAGGACCATCTCAAGGACAAACTTTTACCATTTCGAAAGGCGAAGAACATACCTCTTGAGGTAACTTTTATTAATTTAAAGTCTCAAAGAGCTCAAAACTTCCTATTTTCAACAGTGAGTTTTTTTTTTTTTCTTGACATTGAATTTTGTTTGGCAAATATCACTATGAGTTTCTTAACCTCCTTTTAAGTTTATAACTATATTAATTTTTTTTGTTCAAAGGCACATTTAGGTTGGACAATTTTGGTACTTGGTAGCTTGTTTATTCTCCCATTATAGGCAAAATCCGTTTTTGTAGAATTCAGTGACCATTTTTGCTAACTTGTGTGGCCATTTTGACAACATTGCACCGGCCTATTTGTAGTTTGCAAAGTTGCTATAGTGTAGTTTGAAATTTGCTAACTTGCAATCCTGGTGCACTTTCCTGGTGCTTTCTCTCGATGCAGTTTTTCTTCCAGTTTCTTAAATTTGTAATTTTTCTACACAAGCTTTTGTGAATCAAGAAATATTTTTGTAGATTTTGTGGCTATAATTGGTTGAAAGCTCTCTCTCATGCCAGGTGCCGAAGAACATATAGCTGCAATTGGCAGCTCTACATGGTAAAAAAGTACCAGCACATGTCCCCATTGTTCTAAATGTTGGAATGGCGGATCATTTACTAGAATGTGATGGTGCAGAAGACACATCGTCTTCCTTTGATAAAGCTAGAGAGGCCATTGATATACAGTGGTAAGGCCATTGATGGAATTTAGGTTTACAAGCTTAGGTTGCATCACAACACCATTAATTTCAATGGTTTCTTTAATTCTCTAAAGCAAAATACAGCTGACAGTACTCCTTGACAACAAAAGTAACAAAAAAAATAGAGGCTGTTGGTATTAACCAGTTATTTTTATTGGCAACAAAAACTAAACATCCACCAAGTGATTTGTCTTCATGATTCAAACCCCACAAAGTAGAAACTAGACTACACTACAAATAGCATCTTCGAAGAACTGATGAGCCATCTTTGACCTGAAAAATTTTAAAAAGAAA